GCGTCCGGCATACTTGCGGCGAATCCCGACATTACGATCAAAGTCCGATCGTACGTGTCGAAAACTTCGTACTTGAATAGTTTCTTTTCGGAACGTAAAAACTCATATTTCGTCATATCCCAACACACAGGTTCATGGAAGAAGCGGGGGTTGGAGGCAACCGAGCGGCCTGTAGACTCCAGCAGGCGGCGGTAGGATTATGCTTTGGAGTCTACTTCCACATTGCGCTGCTCCCACCAGTCCAGTTGAGAGAAAGGCCGGTGCTTGTCCAGGTGGCCTTTAACATGGCGCCGATGAACTTGGAGGGGAAGGTGGCGAAGCAAGGCCCGGATGGTTGAGGCCAGATCAAATTGGGCACCAGACAATGACAGGTGGAATTTGGAGAAGGACTTATCAAGAGCTACAAGCCCGTCGCAGGCCATCTCAACCGACGGTTGGCTGGCAAAGAGTTTCAGGTGGGCGACCTGAGACATCCAGTCCAACACCAGGAGAGAGGCCATAAGGTCAATCAATTCGCTGCACGTGGAACTCTGGTCGTCAAATTTCCCAGGGGTTTGGCAGGTGATCCAGATGATATCCCTGCGGTCATCAGTGAGAATTTGGGCGCAGACTGTGCCCACTTTAGCTTTGTAAGAGCCGTCGCTCACAGCACAAAGGGTACCGGCGCGAAGGGCCTGAACCAGGCGGTCCTCACTACCTTCAATGGTAATGACCTCTGAAACCCAGCCGTGAGAACCTGATTCAGCCAGACTACCAAAGTGATGCCAGAGGTCAAGGATGGAAGATGGGGGAGCAGGTGGTTGGCTGGTAGGTGAGGGCCCATAGAGTGGAGGAGGACCCGGCTCTTGTGGATTGGAGAACGGCTAGGGAAGACAGAGACCGAGGCGCGGACAGCGTCCACTGGTAGAGGTGGGAGATCAGGGTTGAAGCAACAAGGCAAGTGGAAGGTGCACTGACGGCTGGTGGAGGCAAGAGGAACGGAAGGGATCCATAGTTGACCCTCACGGTGGAACAGGGTATTGGTAGAGGGGGAGTATTGCCACTTCCAGGATAAGTCAACGGAATGCCACAGGCCTAACGGAGAACAAATCCAAAGCCTTTGCTAATCATCATCCCCAACAGAATGGAGCTAATTGCAACCCAGATAGGAGGTCCTGCCCTATTGCCTTTTCCACATCCTTGAAATGGGATCAGAGTCGGAGGGGTAAAGACACGGTCTGAATTGCCAAACCCCGTGCGCACCCAGTGTTTAGACTTCATCAGTGTATCAAACATGGAGCGAAGGGTACGCCATTGAATCCCAAAGCGCATGAGGCTAATGATTGCCACCCAATGGACAATCCGGTCAAAGCAGGACTTGGCATCATTGGAGATCCACCCGGCCGGGCGGCGTTGAAGATGCAAGAGGTCCCCAGTGAGACGCTTTGTCAGGGCCATATTCCTTTGGCAACGGGATTCGTGCCCTCAAATTGGCGAAACTTGATGAATTTTGCAATTGAGAAAAAGGCAGGCGACTTCCGGTTGTCAAAAATGCGTACTATTCAGTTAATGAATTCGGAGGCACAGGCGAACAACAAAAAGCGGGTCGAGCGGCCATGCGATATGCCGAGGAACGCTCCTTGATTCCGGACGGTCAAAGCGGTTCTTGGAAATGTCACCAGGCCATTGATCTGGCCCTGTCCAAATGTCTGGTCTGGGACTTGTTGATTCTCCAACGACGCGCGGCTGGGTGGATCTCTAATGATGCCAAATCCTGCTTTGATCGTATTGTTCATTGGGTGGCAATCATTGCAATGCTCCGGTTTGGGCTGACATGGAGGGTCCTATCCTCCATGTTTAACATGCTGTCATCAGCGACGCATCGGGTGCGGACAGGCTTTGGCGATTCCGAACGTACTTTCAAGCCGCCTTCTGTTATCCCCTTCCAAGGCTGTGGTCAGGGTAATGGGGCTGGACCCCCTATATGGATCTCTGTGAGCTCCGTTCTCATTACCATGATGGAAGCGATGGGTTACGGCTTTGAGTGCCTCTCAGCATTGGAGTCACAGTTGGTCACAGCCCAATGCTTCTGCTTTGTCGACGACACCGACGTCATTGAGGCTGGCAATACAGTACATCACTCGGGTGAAGCTATATGTGCATCGGTGCAGGACGCCGCCACTCTGTGGGCTGGGGGAATCCGTGCCACTGGCGGTGCGATCAATCCTGAGAAGTCCTTTTGGTGGCTCATTGATTTTGAGTGGGACTCCCGCACAGGCAAATGGAAATTCCGTGGGAAAAAAGCAGTCGCCCCCAACTTTGAACTCCAAATTCAAGGTCTTTCAGGTGCTACTGAATCCTTGCGTCGCCTTGAACCAGATGACTTGGAATGCACTTTGGGAGTTATGCTTGCTCCCTTGGAAAACCTTGAGGCCCACAAGGCTCAGATGGTTGCTAAAGCCAAGGATTGGGCAGAACAGCTTCGATCCAACCTGCTTCACAAATATGATGTCCTCCCCCTCATCAAGTTGACCATCATGAAGAAATTGGAGTATCCGATGGCGCTAACAACTCTGGATGCCCAGCAATGGACAGACATTATGTCTCCGGTACTTCAAGTGTGCCTTCCGAAGGCGGGTGTCTGTCGTAATTTCCCTTGGGATGTCATATTTGCTCCGCTGTCCTATCAGGGTCTTGGACTTCCACATCCGTTTGGTTGTCAAGTGTTTAAGCATCTTGAGATGTTGCTCTGACATATGGCCAACAGGACCACAACGGGGGACTATATGGAGGCCAACATCCAAGCCCATCAACTTGAAACGGGGAAGTCCTTTGGACTTTTCCAACAAGTCTACACCAACACGGCGATCCTTGCTTCAGACACGTGGCTGAAACGAGTCTGGTATGAGCTTGAAGGTTTGGACATCTATGTCGCCTACAACTCTCCAGCCCTCTCCCTTTGATGTACGGACGACTCTGCTGGTGGATCTCTTCATCTACTTGGAGGTTGAACAGGAGGAACTTTTATGGCTCAATTGGTGTTGAATGTTCCTCCAGGTATGCACAGTGTCTGACATTGTGACTGCTAATGGCAGGTTTATTTGTCGCTCTGCGTGGAATGGGCTCAGGGATGAGTGCTGCCGCTCGCCATACCAATGGCCAAGGACAGTTCGCCCAACAAGGCAACACTAGGTCCTGTGGCAGACCACCTTGTCCAGAGCCCTGCTTGCCTCCAACCGGCCACATCACCCACTGCAACAGCCCTTGGGGCCATGGACTGACCGTCTGGAGGACTGGAATTGGTTACTGTCCCCCACCACAGGCCTTTTTCACCGCCATGGGGCAACCTGGAAACACTTTTGCTCTGAGGGCTCCCACACCACGTCACGTTGCTACGCACCAGGGCCGTCCCATCCTTCCTGCCCATGGTGGACTGCACCGCTTCCTTCTGACGTTCTTCATGTTACGGTTCGCTCCATCACAGGATCTGACAGGGTTCTTCTCACCGGTACTGGCCGTGCCTCTGAACCGTCTTCTTCCTCCAGCCCATCCATTCTTCACACGTGGCAGACGGCTGCCAAGCTCTGCACAGACTATTACGGGTGGGTCCCCGATGAGATCGAGGTTCACGGTGACAAAGCCACCTTGGCTGATGCTCTGTTGGACGGTCGCCTGCGTGTGATCAGCGATGGATCCTTCAAGAACGAGTTGGGGACCGCAGCGGTTCAACTCCTGGTGAAGCATGGAGGATGCCATCAAATTATCATCCGGTGTCAGACTCCCGGTTTGCCCCAGGACCAGAGTCCATACCAAAGTGAACTCATTGGTCTGTTGGCCGGTATAATGGCGGTTGATTGGCTCCTTGAGCAATGGTTCCCAAACATTCTGACTGGCCCCAAGGTGCGGATTGCTTGCGATGGCCTCTCTGCTATTGAGATGGCTTCTGACGGTACTCAGCACTGAGTAACTTCCCTTTACCAGCTTCCAGTAAATCGTTACCAGCTGGTGTTTCCTGCTTTGAATCCTTGTTGAACTTGATAGGAAAATCTTCCAACATGTTCTTGACATAGTTGTCCATGGAGACCTTGAGTTTTCCTTTCACCAAGAAATCGAAAGTCATTCCAAGATATCTGTGTATCTTTACTCTGGCAATTGTGCATGCCTTGATCAACCCATATCTCATGTTCAACCACTCAGCAAATTTGTCATTTACTTTTGGATCCATGTGACTTCTTGACATCAGATTGTCAACATAAAACCTGATAGTTTGCTGTTTGTCATCAACAACTTTGTTAGCAACACACGGGTCATACGAATTGAAAACAAATTCCTTTGCCTCCAAATCACTTCAAAAGTGATTATAGAATAGGTGTTAGAATAAAGCAAAATGTGCTCTATTGTGAGTGCCTTTAGCACTCAGAACAAATTCTCTGCAATCGAAATTTGTAATCGATTGTACAACACTTTCACAACAATAGTTCTCCTGTGTCTAGGTATACTTTGAGTGAAATTGTTCCTATTTGATTAATATTTGGCTTGAATTGATGATTCAATCACAAAAGTCAGTTCAACAATTTTCCCTTGGAAAATCCCTTGTTTACAAAACTTGATTCGACCTCTGCGAAAATTCTGTGTTGGATGCAGTACTTTGGGACATCTTGTATTATTCCCTACTGCATTGTACACAACATCGATATCTCACTTGTATAGGGTCATTCCCTTTTTGTGTGGATGTAGATTGTCCGACAGACTTGCGTTCGGACAGACTTGCTTCCGGCATACTTGCGTCGAATCCCGACATCACGATCAAAGTCCGATCGGACGTGTCAAAAACTTTGTACTTGAATAATTTTTTTTTGGAACGTAAAAACTCATATTTTGTCATATCCCAACACACTCCTGCCATTGTGACAATCACCATTGGCAGCAATGGGACATGCTCTCATTTACTGTTTATTTTTGTTTTGTATTTTCATTTTGAACATATACATACTTGTCTGACCTAGTCCTGTGGACCAAGAACCAGATCCCTGAACTTGCGAAACTTCTCATCTTGCAATGGCTTAGTCATAAAATCCGCAATCATATCGTCAGTTGGACAGTATTTGACCTTAACATTGCCTTTCTCAACTTGATCTGTGATAAAGAAATAACGAATATTGATAGCTCGGCTTCTTTTGCATGCGATCTTGTGACCATTCTCTTCCAGTAGAATCGCGCTTTTGTTATCCTGATACAAAGTATTTTTCTTGATCGGATACCCTTGCCACTCCATGAACAACTTCGTCCATAGTATCATCGTGACAACATCGTCAACAGCAATCAGTTCTGCTTCTGTACTGCTTCTGCTGTTTAGCTTTTGCTTCTTTGACATCACTTGAGCTGCACCTCCTCCAAAGGACAGATTGCCGCCAGTATGAGTATCCAACTGCCGGTGTAATACGGCTGTAGAGGCCAGGAACTAGGTTGCTGTTGATCAACAAAGTTTGAACCACGTTGAGGCGTTCAATAGAGGAACGTTCCTTGCAAGTCAAAAGTCAAGGACGATCGGCTCTTCCACGCTAGGTGCGTGGAGAATATGTATGTGTTAGACTGGGATACGTGTGGCGTGTGATGTACCAGTACCAGAATCACTTTGGTAAATATGTAGACAAGTAAGTCAGGGGGCTGCTGGGGGAGGAGTAGGGTGGGTCAGTTCCCACATCAATCGTCGCCTGCCTGCAAGGGATCGTCTGATTTTGCGGCGGGCTTCGGAGATGACGAGGACCCATTCCTCCTTATCCGCCAGTTGGAGTCAGAGGACTGCCACAAGGCGGGATCGACGGATGGCAGGGCGAAGGTTCCGAGGCAGGTCGCGAGGACCCATGTCAAACTCGTCATGTATGCGTCGATTGAGAGCAGTTGCACGCTGTTGGTTGACGATGTTGTCGTCAGAATGAAAGACATCATTGCGATGCTTCCACATGCCTTTACCGATAAGGATGAGCTGTTGAGATAGATTGGCAGCCCAGCGATTACCGGATCGGCGACTACCGCGAGAGCGGTAGAATTGTTCCTGGAGGTCGGCCCAGCCGTGGGCGAGAAGGCCTTCGAGGAGGCATTGGGGGCCGAGGCGGAGTTGGGCCTCACAGACTTGGGTGACGGAGTCTCTGGTTGAGGCTGGTTGCTAGGGTTGTGGATGGTGCGAAGAAGGGCCCCAAGGAATTGGGCGATGGGTGTAGCAGTGGTGGTGGACTGGAACCATTCTTGGAGTTCTTGGAGGAGGAGCTGCCACTGGGTCTTGGCCCGGCTGGAAGGGCAGCGGGGGACATGTAGGTGGTCCTCCTCCAGTCCGCACAAGGGGCATCGGTTCTTGGAGTCGAGGCCCCGCCGTTTACGGAACTTGCCGACACCGCACATGCCAACTTTGTTTTTTGTAATGAAGCGCTGTTCGGCGGGCTTCAGAGACTTCATCGCGCGGTGGACTATCGGCCAGTCCACCAATCGGAAGTGTTCGGGAGCGAGGCGGCCTTTGGCTGCCCAATATTCCATCAATTCCGGCAGGACAACGGCCTCGTCGACCGATGCCAAGGCCAGGCAGGAGACTTTCTCATTGTCAATGTAGATTGCACAGGGTTCGCAGAAGAACTTGGGGTTTCTGGCAATCGTGTCGTTGGTGGCGATCAGCTCGTCGGCGTAGCCTTGGGCAATGTCATCCACCTCGGAGTTCCGTCGTTGCCACCAGGACATCTGATGCCATGTCTTGGTTTGGTCAGCGTGGCCACCCACGTGTTGTTCGGCCCAGGAGATGTTGGAAACTCGGAGAGCCTCGCGGATGGAGGACAAGAGATCAAAGTGTGGGGCGGTAGGAGACAATGGCCAAGTAGAGAAGGCCTGGCGAAGCGCAGCAATCCCATCACACGCCACACGGACTCGTGGCTTGGCAAGGGACTGTAGGCGTAGGCGGAGCCAAGAAGCCACCAAGATACCAGCTAACAGACCAATAAGTTCGCTCCGGTAGGCACTCTGATCCTCTCGTTTGCCAGGTGCACGGCACTTGATCCAGACGACGTGCCCTCCGCGTCTAGTTCGTAGCTGGACTGCGGCGGTGCCCACTTGTTGCTTGAAGGAGCCATCGCTGCTCACCCATAGCTTTCCCTTCTCCAGTGCCTCCAGTAGGACTTGTTCATCACCCTCAATGTAGATGTATTCCGGGACCCAGCCCCACTCGTCGGCCATGTCAGCTGCCAATTCCCGCCAGATGTGAAGGATCGAGGATGGAAGCGTCTCCGGATCTGGTGGATCGACCGGGGCTGTGCCTGTGACAGTGACATAGGCTGTCCGTGGGTGGAGGTCGACGGATGCCCTTTGGACATCCCCAGGAAGGGGCCCCGTCCAGTTATGATGAAGATCCCGTCGGAAGGTCCGATGAGAACGGGAGTTGATGGGTCGGTAGATAGACAGGTTGGAGGCCGTTCGATGGAAGAGGATCGAAGACGTGCGAGAGAGGAGCCAGGTCCAGCGGTCCAGAGAATCAGACCACGGTCCAAGGGGCTGCAACAAGCGGCGACGGCGGCTGTAGGGGCGGATAACGGCTTGGGAGAGGACGCGTCGCCATAGGTCCCAATGAGAGGGGCCAGGGCGTCGGGCACGAGGCCAATTGTAGCTGGTCACAAAGTGTCCAGAGGGTTGGCCAGCAAGAGAAGCTGCCGTCAGGGAACGACCGTCGGCGGTGGTGAGTTCCGAGAGGGTGGTGACTTGGAGGTATTGGCGGCACCAGTTGAGCCACAACAATTCCCCTTGATCGACCAAGGCATCGACGAAGATGTCCATCAAGAGACGATCGTCGGCACAGTGGAGGGACAAGGGGGGGGAGGAGATCTCAACTCTGATGCCCAGTGAGTCGAGGTCGATCCAAACCCGTTTTAGCCATGTTTCGGAGGCGAGGATCCCGGTGTTGGTGGGTTCTTGTTGAAGAAGGGGAAAGGAAGTGCCCGTTTTGAGTTGGTGGGACTGGAAGTTGGCCTCCAGGTACTGGCCGGTCTTGGTACGGTTGGCCGAATGGCGCATCAGAACACTGAGATGGTGGAAGACTTGAAGGGCAAAGGGATGTGAGATACCCAATCCCTGGTATTTCAGAGGGGCAAAGACCACGACGCGGGGAAAGGAACGGCAAATCCCAGCTTTGTGCAAACTCGCTTGGAGGATCGGGGACATGATGGACACCCAGTCGGAGCGGCCCAGTGTGGAAAGGGGCATCACATACTCCAAAGTTTTCAAGGCGGTGGCCCTGATCAAGGGAAGAACATCATAGCGAAGTAGATGTTGGGGACGGAACTTGGCTGCCCAGTTCTTGGCCTTCTCCCACAGAGCAAGATGTTGTGCTGTTCCGGTCTCAAGTGGGGCCATCATGACTCCCAAGGTCCTTTCAGCTTCATCTGGCTGGAGGCGTCATAGTGTCGCCCAAAGCCCAGTAGGGTCTTGGAGGGTCAGGTCGCCAGGCATTTCAGCCTTCCTCCAAAACACCCACATGCCAGAGGACGGCCGCCATTTGAAATCGATCAGCCAAGAGAAGGACTTTGCTGGGTTGATAGCTCCACCGGTGGCACTGATGCCACCCGACCAAAGGTCCAAAGCCGATTGTACTGACAGGAGGAGGTCTTTGCCAGTCGTCTCCACGTTGTCGTTGGACTCCATGACATTGGTGTCATCCACAAAGCAGAAGCACGAAGCGAAGAACTCCTGGTTGGTGAGGGCAGTGCGGCTCTTGTACCCAAATCCCTCGGCCTCCATGGCGTCAATGAGGATTGCACTGATCGCCACCCAGATGCATGGGCCTGCGCCATTGGGCACACTGGCGATGTTCCCTTAGGTCCGATCCGAGTCGCCAAAGCCAGTCCGGACCCTGTGTTTTGCCGTTGCCAAGATGTCAAACATTAGATTGGTGACAGGGACCGGCAGGCCAAATCTCCGCAGGGCCGTCTTCGCCACCCAGTCAACGATGCGATCAAAGCAAGACTTTGCGTCATTTGTGATCCAGCCGGAAGACCGTCGTTCCAGGATCAACAAGTCCCAGATCAATCGTTTGGAAAGGGCAAGATCAATGGACTGATGCTGCTTCCGTGAGCCACACTGGCCTTTAGGGATGATGTCATCCTCCTCAGCATTCTTCATTGCAGCCCGACCCGCCTTCTTGTAGTTGGCTTGAGCCTCCGAGTTGAACAGCTGGATGGTCCGCATCCCTTGTGGGCGGAAATCACCGGGCTTCTTCTCAATCGCAAAGTTCATTAGGTTCTTCCAGAGTTCCGGAACATGGCCAGACCAGAGTGGAATGTCCCAAAACGCCGTATCACAAGAAGCCAATAGTTCCGAGAGGGCGCCTGCCTTGAAGTGGTCATTATGGAGGCCGTGGGGCTCCAAACCCTTGTTCTCAGGAGTGCAACTCCAAAAGTCCACGTGCTCTTTAACCGTCAAGGGGAAAGGACGTGGCCGGTAACTGTCGTGCAGTCGACAGTGGCAAAGGAAGGCTTGGGTAGGGTAAGCCAGGCCACCAGGGATGGGGAGTTTGCCTTCCAGAAGGAGTTGTTGGTTGTTGTCCGCGTCAGGGCCCGTGAACATAGTGTAGAGTGGCTCGGACATGGGAGGAGTGGAGTGCGGGGTCTGGGTTTGTTGATACCGGGCCCTATTTTCTTGCATCCATCCATCTTCAACCGACGTCGGGTCAGTAATGGTCTGTAACCGACAATTGCCAGAGCTGTCCTCCATTTCGACTTGAATAGCCCTTAGACCGCCAGATAAACCGGAGGAACGAGCCTTGCGTCTCCGACGGGTCTCCTCGCGTTGCTTCATGGACCGCAAGTGGTGATATCGTTCTTGTTGGCTTGCCGTCTTATGACGGACTTTAGCAATGCTCTGGGTGCGAGTAGTGACTTGGGCCTTCCGCCATTTAGAAGTGAGGCCCCTTTTGGCTTCTCTATACCGACCAAGGTCTTGGGTGAGGTGAGCCTCAAGGTCGGCTGTAGTCAACTTCCAGGCCAAGGGTTCGTTCGTCTTGAGCAGCAGGCGGCGAACCTTCCTGGAGCTCACACGGCACTGACGTCGGCCCTTGAGGAGAAGGCGCCACAAGGTGATCCGATCCCGAATGGATTGGCCTTGGGGGGACCATTCCGCCCCACCCATCGACAACTTCCTGCAGTTCTGCTCCCCCAATCGTCGAACTGTGTAAGCATCAGCATGTATCCAATCGAATCTGACCCCCTGGGAGTTGGTGATGCCGCCCTGCTGTCGGGCAACATCGAATCCTAGGGTAGAGAGACAACCCGGAATATTGTACCGCAAGTAACCCTGCTCCGCCAATTGGACGTATCGTTGAACCACCCGTTTGTTATGCATCACCAGCCGGCGTGGGACATGGGTGGATTTTGTAGGTTTGTGTCCGCCGAGGAGACTGTTCAAGTCAAAGTCGATCCACAGGCCACGGTGATCGGAGGCGACGTGTTCGTCAAAAGGGTAGTACCCGGCGGCCAGGATGGGCACGTCAGGCGTCGCAAAGATACCGTCAATCGGATACCCACGGAGGTTTCGCTGGTAAGTGGCCTGATGGGACCCTGGATGTTTGG